TCACAATAAAAGACAAAGGGCTACCAAGGTAAGGTTTAGAACACATTGAAAATCAATAATAACAATTCTTTGTAATGAATTATCAAATACATTTAGCGCAAAAATCTTAATATAAAATCATCCAATCAAATAAATAAAGAAAAAAATTCCAAAACATAATTGAATGCAAACAACATGTCAACAAAAAGTCGGAGCCTCGAATCACATTTCACTTAACTATTGAATATATAAATCTTAATAATATATTCTCAAATATATAAATGATTTCAAAATAAATATAAATCTTAATAATGTATAAATTACTTCAAAATGAGATAGCTATTAGTAATATATAAATTATAACCTCAAATCAAAATAATTTTAATTTTTATAATTATTATTAAAATCTAGAAAATATTAAATATAAAACATCCCAACACATATACAAAGTTAATAAATTTATAACAAAACCCAACAAATCTCAACAAAACTTTGATAAAAAATAAATAAATAACTCAACAAATAAAAAAAAAAATTCTCCAACAATACTAAAGATAAATTTTAAAAAATTAAACAATATCCAATATTAATACTCAACAAAAAATCCAACAAAAATATATAACCAGAAAATTTCAATAAATATGAAACGAATAAAAACTCAACATGGTAACCAAAACCCAGATAAATTTCAACAAATCTATAGCAAAAAATTAAACCTTAAACTCAACAAATATATTACATAAAATACAACATAAAATAAAATAATTAAAAAAAAACTTACTAGAGGGAAGGGACACACCTACACTGATTAGTGCACTTCGATGATGGTGAGGATGGCAAAGTGGCGAGGAGAGAGAGGAGGGGGAGAATGGGAGAGGGGAGGGAAAAGGGCAATAGGGATTAGGAAATAATTTGGTAAAAAAAATAAGGTAACCCGACTGGAATGGGGGAGATTTTTGGCTACTAATGACAATTTTACTGAAAAAAATTATGTCAATAATATTAAAATTTTTTTTCAATTTTTTTATCGATAGATTTTTTCGTTAGTAAATTCATTGGTAAAATTGGTGACAATTCATGTTAGACTTTTAGCGACGGATTACCTACAGATTTTTTTCCGTTGGTAATCCATTGGTGAAAGTATTTTTTGTTTTTTAAATTTTATCGATAATTAGCGATGGAAAAATTCCATCGGTAATGCATAAAATTCTAGTATTGTAAACACTTGGTGATCCTATGTGGCACTGATCTTGAATCGCTGAGACTGATCTAATTCTCATACAAAAATATTTAAAACTTTTATCATTGAGATGAAGTGATATGTAAAATTAATAATAATAAATTTTATCTGTTTAATATGTGAATTAAAATCTTACTACATCTTAAAATTATAATTATTTTATATTATAAATTTTTATGTTTTCAAATTAATATTCATTATAATAAGTTCAAAATAATTTGTATTTTTATTACTTTTTTAATATTTTATATATAATATAATTTTTTTATTATGAATTTAATAGATTGGTTTTATTTTCTAATTTAAATATTTCCCCATAATTTATATTATAAAATAAATTTACCTATCAATAAAAATATTTATTAATTTAATAATTTAATTATATTTATTATAAAATAAATAAATATTGCTAATATTTTACAAATTATTATCTTTAAACAATCATAAAATTATTAATTTATGTAACTATTACAATATGCATAGTTATTTTCGTACTTTTAAACATAATAATATTTGATTTTTAGTAATAACAAATATAACGATTTTTAATTTTTAAGAATTAATCATTGTTAACAAAATAAAATGATTTTAAATCATGAGTGTTAAGATCACATTGATAATAAGATCACCCAAGTAATTACATTACCATGATGATTTTGTAAAAAATACCAAAGGCTACGTAAGGTGATAAAATCACCTATTCATAACTTAGAGGATGAGAAAATCTTATCATCATGGGAAAGTAATTTTTAATATTATTTTTTGACTAATTTACTCGAATGAAAAATATTGTTAGCATTACCCCAAGAACCTTGTCATTAAAAATTAATAAAATATTTTGTAATCACTTATTTTAAAAAGGTTTTATTTTATAAAATTATATTGACTAGAAAAAAGATAATGAATTTATCAAATAATTGTTTTTTAGAAATTATTTTATCAAAACTGATTTATATTTTCTAGTTTTCTATAAACTAATGATTAATTATTTTATAAATTGTTGATTTAATGAATATTAAATATTTTACTTTTTAAGGATTATTTTAGATATTTTGTATTATATGATTTATTTTTCATATAATACCAAATAGGGATAGATTCACGATTTATATTAAATGGGGGTAAATTATTAGGTAATATTTATTTACAAACTATTGTAACTTAAAATGACTTTCATTAAAATATATAATGTCAAATACTTATGGAAATATAAAATAATAAAAATATTTGTAAAAAAATTATAAAATATAAAATAATCATTTTTATATAAATATTATATTTAAAAAATCACATTTGCTTGTTTTAATTATGTTTCATTCGGAAAGAACATTAACTTTTATATAGATAAACATAAATACAACAATTGAATAAATATATTAAAAATTTAAACACATACACAAATATATTTATTAAACCGATTATATAACACCACACGACTAACAAATTTATCAAATAAGTTGGATTAAACATGATATGACATGATGTTTTATAACCCATTTAAAAACTCATTCTAACAAGATTAGTAAGAGTAGTGAAGAGATAAATTTTATATTTATATTTTGAATCATTAACTTGTTCAATTATTTTCTTTTTTGTTAATACAATCATATACATTTCAATATTATAAAAGATCCATACTTAATTTTTTTTTGTTACATTTAGTGGGGGTAAAAAACAAAAGTTTTAATTTTTTTTAATTTCTAATAATGCTACTTGTTATTTTGGAATTTTAGTGGGAGCAAAATATAAGCATCATTTAAATTTTGAGTCTTTTATTAACAGAAATACTCAAAATTTAAAATTTTACTGAGGCAGCTGCCCCCACCTTAAATATGTCTCTAATACTAAATATAATTATTTAAAAGTATTAGCAATTTATAATTTTGTATTAAATATGGTAATCTAAATCACTCTATGATAATTATGTTATCACAATGATCTTTAAAAGTAATACCAAATGCTATCAAAATAGTTGGTTTACTATAGCTTAATTTAATTTATTAAAAAAGAAAAAACAAAATAAATAGAGAAAGAAGCAAGGCGTTTCGATTGCTTTATCAGATAGAATAAAAAAAACTTAAAAACTTAAAAATAATATTATAAATAAAAGAGAATTGAGTTATCATAGAATGCACTAGAGTGGAAAAGTAAAATTAAATTGGAAATTATTATAAAGGAATAAAAAAACCAATTTAACATGTCTAATTAAAAAAAATTCTAAAAAGATAAATTACTATTCCAAATCAATTTTCTCAAAGTTCCTCAAGTTCATTAAAAGAACCGAAATGAAAATTTTTTACCAATAAAAATTTAGGATTGTATAAAAAATATAACAAAAAATCTTTTGTACTCATGGAGGGTGCTTTTGACTTTAAGAGATAAATGCTGAAAGGCCATGATTTGTGTTATTATTATTATTGTTATTTTGTATTCTTGATTTAAATTTTTTGCATTTATCTTGCATGCCACCGCAAGTTAGTTTGGGATTTTGACGTTATGCTATAGATTTAAAGAAAGGTATCTTTACCCATATGCACTATTATGTGCCCATTTTCCGTTCCACCACTTGCCATTAAAAAAAACAAAACACTCAGCTTTCAACCACCAAAGTCATTGTCTTTCTCTCTTTTTTTTTTTTTATCTTTTTTTTTGTTCTTTTTATACTACTTTTATTTATATAATTTATTATTCTGGTAATGGAAATTTCTCAATAGTTGTTATAAAATTATTATAACTTAAAATGATGCTTTAAAAAAAAAAAAAAAAACCACCGATCTTTTTTTGCTTTTCTCATAAAAAATAAAATTTTTCACTCCCCTTTTTTTTTTTAACTTCGTAAAACTTCAAAATTATATTTATGCCAAAAATGTGACATGTTTTTTGTTATTGTTTTCATTATCATTATATTAATTGTTAATATTGGATCATAAGTTTTTTATTTTGTTTATCTTAGAGATAATATCCAAACCAATAACATAAATAAAATCAAGAATTGAAGTCTATAAGATTTGTTTATCTAATTACATTTCAATTTAATTTTTTGCCAATCAAGAAAATTTTAACTGATTTTAATCTCAATTGTATATTATTAATATAAAAAATATTCATTATTTTTGTAACATAACATTCAAATAAGCCTTCAAATTTTATTAAAAAAAAAAAGTAAACACTTGATCATTTATTTTTCATGTAAATAAAGTTTATAAAATCCTAGTTTATTAAAATTTTTTATATTTGTCGTTGTTGGGATTTAATCTATAATTATAAAATAAAAAATTTAACACCATTCGTGGTTGTTGTTATAATTTATTGAAATTACAACAATGAAATTGAAAATGAGTAATATAGAGCATAATAGAGATAACAAGGATAACCTCTATTCGATATCATTTATCAAACACGTGATAATATTTTGTTTAAAAAAAGTGATATGGTAATATCTTACTTTTTAAATTAATATTTGAATTTTAAAACTTTATAAATTTTTTTTTTTTTATTTCTACGTTATAATCCTGCGGCAACACTGGCGCAATATAGCTTGTGGAATCCAAATCGTTCGTCAAAAACATATTTTGGCAAGGCAGATATTGTAATAAAAAGTCCTTAAACTTCCACAGCAACGGCAAGCAGGACACATTTTTTGAGTGCAGGCCTGCTTTTTTATATTCTTTCTCAATTAAATTCAATAATTTTAGTGAACCTAAAGTCAAATATTAAAATTTTAATTTTAATAATTAAAGTTCAAATCATGATAAAATAAAATAAAAAAACTCGAGCAATGTTTAAAATGTTTTTTCTAATTTCTTATTCTGCCAAAAAACTTAGTGTTAGCATACATTACAAACCACTATTATTATCATTTATTTATAAAATATATAATATAGTAGATAGCAACGAGAATAGATATAGGAAAACAAAAATCACATTTCTCCGTCCCACAATTCCTCAACTGCCTTGAAAGGACCGTCTTTGGTGATGAACTCTTCTCCTCGGTGGTGTCTTCTTTGTGGGATGTCATTGATCTTTTTAACCTCATCCTCGGTCAAGGACCAATTGAATATCTCAAGGTTTTGCTTCATCCTCTCACCATTGAAGCTCTTCACCACCATACCCACACCTAGTTCATAAGCCCATCTCCCACATATCTGTTTCGGATTAGTAATCAACCGTCAATTTGTCTTCCACTTGTCTAAAATTTCGAAACAGAAAGTGAAACGAAGGAAACAAAAGTACCTGAGCAACTGTCTTCCCTTTTGCCTCAGCAATTTCCTTCAACACATCATACTCCATAATTCTGTTGCTGCCCCAAGCAGTCCCTGAAGCTCCCAACAGAGAGTAAGCTGTCACAAAGATCCCATTCGCATTGCAAAACTCTCTCAGCTTCTTTTGGTTCCACGTCGGGTTCAATTCCACCTTGCAAGAAAATGTAACAACTTCAGTACTATCACTACTCTAGAGTTTCAAACCAAATCGAACGCCCAAGAGTTGTGCGTGCCAAAGAGAAAAGGGAGAGTTATACCTGATTAACAGCCGGGGGGATCTTTGCTAAGGCAAGAATGTCAGTTAACTTTTTGCAGGAAAAATTGCTGACACCTATAGACTTTGTAAGGCCAAGCCTCTGGCAATCTTCCATGGCTGACCATACGGAACCAAAATCCATGGGGAGGACGTCTTCCTTATTAACCACTAAGAATTCGAAATTCCCTTGTTTTAGACTCACAGGCCAGTGAATAAGATAGAGATCGAGGTACTCCAACTTGAGATTTCTACAGGAAAAACAGTCTAGACAAAAGAATTTACATTTTCAGCGGTCAACATATTGAGATGAAGGAAATATCTTACTGTAAGCTCCTGCGAAGGGCAGGGAGAACAAGTTCTCCATGAGCATCGTTGCACCAGAGCTTGGAAGTGATGAAGAGCTCGTCTCGAGATTTAATTAAGCCAAGCGAAATGGCTTCTATGATTGCTTCACCAACCGGCTGTTCTGTTCCGTATACAGAAGCTGTGTCAAAGTGCCTATAACCAAGCTCAATTGCTTGGACAATAGCCTGCTTTATAACTTGTGGTGCTACTGGTGGGTCAACTGCCGTGCCAAAGCCCAAAACCGGCATTTTCTGGCCACTTGAGCTCAGAACGTGCTCTGGAATCCTAAAGCAACTTGCCTCCACACTGCCGTCCATCGGTTTAACTGTAAAAATCTAAATCTTTGAGGAACTCAAGTATCTTCTTGCTTTTCTTTCTGTCTTAATGAATCAAGTGCAAAGTCTTGGTATTAAATAAAAGCTGGGCTCTTGTAGCCTAGCCGCCGGGCCCAGGGGCACGACAAGGATGGGCACGACTGCTAAATTTTACTATTGAAGCCTAGGCTAAGCTCTTGTGGACTTTTTTGGATGCTATGAACGCGCAGCCAGGGCCCAGGGGCTCGATAGGGACACGACATGTAAACTTTACTATTGAAGTAAAGATGTCATCACGTTAAAGGTTCTAATATTGTAATGTTTATCCATTTCCTAGAATCCTGCCCGCGTAATGCTGCGGAAATTGCTTTTTACTTGAAAAAATAAATTCAACAGAATTATAACACTCTAAACATGTAGTATATAAAATAGTTAATATTAAATCATAATTATTTAAAGATGTCATTACAAAATGATCAAAATACAGCTCAAACAGTAGGTATAAACCATTGCAAAAGAATAAAAATACATGACTAAAAACTAACATGAAAGTTTATACAAAAAGTAAGTAGTATATGTTAAAATTTACATATTTAATTTCAATTAATCAGAACATAGAACATACCTTTTTCAACCATTTGAAAGAAACAATGACATCAAGGTTCAATACGATGCGCAAAAGGGGCGATGGGGGTAGTTGCCTCCGTTGAGATCTTTATATCCCTTAAAAATATATTATAAAAATACTAAAAGATTTTAATTCTTTTATAATGCTCTCACTGAAAATAAAAATAAAATATATGACATATGTAAAAGTTAAAAGTTGCATTAATTAGAATTGATAGATATATGAATAAAGAAAGATTTTAGGGTTATTATATAAAAAAAGCAAGTGAATTGATTGTTAAAAAAAACCGTCAGTTTTCCTTATTTCACCGAACTTGTAGTTTTCACATTTTGGAACTAAGAAAGCAAGAACAATTTTTAACAGAGAGAACTAAAGAAGGAAACTAAAGAAGTAAAAAGAAGGAAAAGAAAGTCGTTAAACAAAAGCAACAAATTATAATTTGATTATCTTCTTCTTTCAACAAGATATTCAAGTAAGTAATTTTTTTATATATTTTTATAATTAGTCAATGAATCAATATGTTAGAGTATTTATTTACTATTTGAAATTTGTTATGTTAATGAAATAATTTGTTAGTGTTATTGATAGCATGTATATTTTTCTTTTATCTTGTTTAAGTTTTTTGTGTTTTATATTTTACTTTATTTTTTTAGTTATTACTCATTCAGCTAAATTAATTTTAAGATTGGCAAAAATTAATTTTTATATGGAGATTATAAAACTAGTTAGAAGTTTATACAATTTCTTGCATGGTAGTATGTTTACAATATGTGAATTGCATTTCTACTCGTATATTTCAAATGTAGAGTCGGTTGATCTTCATTACCATGCATAATTGTATTTTTAATATCTTTTTATTTTTTATAAATTACATAAACTAAACTATTTAGTTTAATTAGTTATGAAAAAATATTTTATTAAGAGGAAGCCAATTTTTTAAAAATCATTTGGGATCGTTACTAGTGGCACACAACATTGTACAAAGTAAGTTCATATTGAATTAAACTTAGATGATCTTCTTTCATATCTTGGGTTATGAAAAAATATTATTGGACTATAACGCTAATGATAGAGATAAGGTTTGAAGAGCTTATTTGCAAAAAGGTCTATGTTAACCTTATAAACATAATTTTCCTAAAGAAAAATTGGAGAGGCATTATGTTGTTTTATTCTTACATGGTTCAAAGATTATGCTAATTGGTTGGAATATAATATAGAAAAAGATGCCGCTTTTCGTTTGTGTTGTTATCTTTATAGAGCATATATTAGAGAGTAAGTAGGTGGCTATTGTTTTGTTTCAGATGGATTCACAAATTGGAAAACGAATGAAAGATTTGATATTCATGGTGGAGATCCTAATAGTGCACATAACAAAGCTTGGAAGTATTGTGAAGATTTGTTAAATCAGAAGCAACATATTCAATTTACTTTTGTAAAACAATCCGATCAAGCATGAAAATATTATCGAGTTTGCTTAACTATGACACTTGATTGTATTCGCTTTTTTTATGTCAAGCTTTGGCATTTCGTGGTGTATATGAAACTAAGAATTCTCACAATCAAGAAAAATTTCTTGAGCTTTTTAAATTTCTTGTCAATCATAATGAAACCATCAATATGTCTTAGAGAATGCACCAAAAAATTCAAAAGTGATAGTAAATGATATTCAAAAAGATCTTGTTTGTGCCGTAGTAATTAAGACTACCAATACTATCATGAAAGATCTTAGAGATAAATTATTTTTCATTTTACTTGATGACTTTCATGATGTTTCAATCAAAGAACAAGGTGCTATTGCTTTGCACTATATGGATTCCAAAGAGCATGCTATTGAACATTTTTTGGGTCTAATACATATTAGTGATACGACTGCTTTGTCACTTAAAGTAGCTATTGAAACATTATTCTCAAAGCATAATTTGAGTATGTTAAGAATTCGTGGGCAAGGTTATGATGAAGCAAGCAACATGCAAGGTGAATTTAATGGATTAAAAACTTTTATCATGAAAAATAATGCATCTATTTATTATGTTTATTATTTTTCTTATCAACTTCAATTGACATTTGTAGCCATGTCAAAGAATCATGTTCTAATTGCATTACTTTTTAACATTGTGACAAATGTAGTGAATATTGTTAGGGCTTCATGTAAATGAAAAGATGTTTTTCAAGAAAAACATCTTGATAAAGTTATTGAGGCATTATGAGTTGATGAACTTTCTATAGGAAGTGGTTTAAATCAAGAAATAAGTCTTCAACAAGCTAGGAATACACAATAAGTTCACATTATGGGACTTTGATAAATTTAATCCTAATGTTTATTTCTATTATTGATGCGCTAGAAATTATGTAAAGAATAGAAATAGTTCAGAGCAAAGAGGTGAAGCTTTTGTCTTATTAGATTCGACTCAATCTTTTGACTTTGATTTCAACTTGCATTTAATGAAAAATATCTTAAGGATTACAAATGAATTGTCTTTGGTATTATTAAGGCAATATCAAAATATTGTGAATGCAATGAGATTAGTAAAAGTAGTAAAGCATCAACTACAAATGATGAAAGATGATGGATGGAAATCTTTGCACAAAGAAGTTTGTTTATTTTGTGAAAAAAGCAATATTGTTATCCCAACTATGATGATCTCAAAACAATGCTTAAATAATGATAAATTTACATTATTATCAGGTTGAGTCGTTTTACATAGTAACTGATATGTAAATTTAAGAGCTCAAAATAGTTTTAATGAGGTGAATATGGAATCATTTTTATTTGACTTTTTTAAATAGTTATGATTTTTTTGCTATTTTTGATAAGGAAAAGTTGATTCATCTTACTTAATTTTATCTAGCTAAATTTTATAATGTGGAGTTAATAGTTATTGACAAGCATTGTTGATTTACGATCTCATGATGAGTTTACAAGCTTGAAAAGTATTAGCGACCTTTCCATGAAACTTGTTAAGACAAAGAAATATTTTTATGTATCCATTGGTATACTTACTAGTGAAATTAGCTTTGATATTATTAATTTCTACTACATTAGTTGAAAGAGCTTTTCTTACTATGAAGATTATCAAAAACCATTTACGCAATCGAATGGGAGATTCTTTGATGAATGATTGTTTGGTTACATATATAGAGAAAGATACAGTTTGTAATATTGATAATGAAAAGATTTTATAACGCTTTCGAAATATAAAAACTCATAGAAAACAATTGTAATATGTTATTTTTATGTATACATAAAATAATGTTTTATGGATTTTAGTTAACTTATGTATATTCTATATTTTATATATTTTTGCCCCCACTGAGTATAACTCTTGGATCTATCCTTGGTTTAAATGATTGCTTGCCAAAAATTTTTTTCAACCACCTAAGAAAGTTTTATTTTTGATTGAATACCTGAATTGAATAGGCCAACCTATGCATTTTTTGAGACCATTAAGATGACATTGACGTCATGTGGTGGAAGGTCTTGTTTATAAAATGTAGTAGGGATATGTTGCATCTTAAAAATAGTTTAACAAGCAATGGTTAACAATAATTAATACATGTGTTATTCAAAAATTAAAATTATTTAAATGTAATAGAAATTATGTAAAAGTAGTTTATATATGCTGTATCACTAAGACACAGATGATTGAACATTTTTTTTTGTCATGGTATGTTCAAATGCTTGATAATCAAGACCATGGTTGTTAATTTTAGTTTTACCATCTTCATCAACCTTAATTTTGAAATGTTGATCTGATTCAAAAGTTGTATCATCAAGATAAATAACTTTGGTAGTCATCTTTTTTACAGTGATTAACTCATTACGTTTTTTTTTTTTGATCTTTGAAGAAGTCACCTGAATTGCTTGTTTTTTCTTAACTATGAAAAAAAAAATAGAATCTTCAAAAAACATCATAAGATAATTACATTGTTTATAAATGAATAAATTTAAGCCAAAATATTATCTATTTTTACTTAAAGAGTGTTTCCTATGATAATAGTATCATTTTTCAGCATATAGAATGGTATGAAAAGATGGATTATTGTTGTATTTCAAGGTAAGTACATCATCGGATTGCAAGCAATGTGCATCAACAAAAGTTTTTCAATCGTTTTTAAAGCATAGTTGACCATTAATCTTAACTAAATGCATTTTGAATTGAGTTGGGAGTAAACTTTTAAGAAATATAGTCATCAGAGTTTTAACATATTGTAAATGTGTCTTTATAGCAATCACAGTGTTTATTTGAAACAATTTATCAATATAAATTTGAACAGAGATATGCATGCATTGTTTATCAAAATTAACTGATTTTTTTTTACACTAATCATCACAAAAAAACACATCAATAATGTAAAACCATACATATAAAACATAGAAAGAATGTTGTTATTTTATGTAATAAGCATTGACAAACTTAGAATATACAAAATTAAAATGTACAACATTAAGATAACAAAC